CGGATGTTATCTACCTGGACTTCAGTAAAGCCTTTGAAACTGTATCCCACAACATTCTCCTAGAGAAGCTGGCAGCTCATGACTTAGACAGGTGCACTCTTCACTGGGTAAAAAACTGGCTGGAAGGCCGAGCCCAGAGAGTGGTGGTGAATGGAGTTAAATCCCGTTGGTGGCTGGTCACAAGTGGTGTTCCCTAGGGCTCAATCTTGGGGCCAGATCTTTATCAATGATCTGGACGAGAGGATTGAGTGCACTCTCAGTAAGTTTGCAGATGACACCAAATTGGGCAGGAGTGTCGATCTGCTTGAGGGTAGGAAGGCTCTGCAGAGGGATCTGGGCAGACTGGATCAATGGGCCGAGGCCAACTGTATGAGGTTTAACAAGGCCAAGTGCCGGGTCCTGCAGTTGTGTCACAACAACCCCAGGCAACGCTACAGGCTTGGGGCAGAGTGGCTGGAAAGCTGCCCAGCAGAAAAGGACCTGGGGGTGTTGGTTTACAACTGGCTGAACACGAGCCAGCAGTGTGCCCAGGTGGCCAAGAAGGCCAACAGCATTCTGGCTTGTATCAGGAATAGTGTGGCCAGCAGGACTGTGTGCCCCTGTACTCAGCACTGGTGAGGCCTCACCTTGAGTCCTGTGTTCAGTTTTGGGCCCCTCACTACAAGAAGGACATTGACGTGCTGGAGCGTGTCCAGAGAAGGGCAACAAAGTGGTGAAGGGTGAACAAGTCCTATGAGGAGCAGCTGAGGGAATTGGGGTTGTTTAGCCTGGAGAAGAGGAGTCTGAGGGGAGACCTGATCGCTCCCTACAACTACCTGAAAGGAGGTTGTAGCCACGTGGGTATTGGTCTCTTCTCCCAAGTAACAAGTGATAGGATGAGAGGAAATGGCCTAAAGTTGCATCAGGGGAGGTTTAGATTCAATATTAGGAAAAATTTCTTCACTGAAAGAGTGGTCAAGCATTGGAACAGACTGCCCAGAGAGGTGGTGGAGTCACTGTCCCTGGAGGTGTTCAAAAAACATGTAGATGTGACACTTTGGGACATGGTTTAGTAGACATGATGGTGTAGGGTTGATGGTTGGACTTGATCTTACAGGTCTTTTCCAACCTTAAAGATTCTATGATTCTATGGCGCCAGCTGGACAGGGAGGCTGGGAGATAGTTGTGAGGAGGCATAAGGTAGAGAGGGAAGGGAGCTTGCTCCATGCCAGCCAGCATGTCTGCAGCACACATGGAAGTAGGACACAGTATCTGAGTCCCTGATACTGCGTTTCCACTCCTCTCCTGGGCCATTGCATGTGGTGCTTTAAATCTCCAGGATTTATGCTTTCCCATAATGAATGCTGTCAGCTTGAGAGATGGTCTTAATTGTTAGAATAAAGACTAGGGAGAAGATGGTTGATGTGCAATACTTTGGAGGGTTTATAGCTCTTTGTTTTCTTGTCTCACTGCTATGGATACAGTCTGCATCAGCAGCACTGGGAGAGTGCTCTGACAAACTCCTGACCACTTTTTTAACTGCAGCCAGGCAACTAGTTTCCTTGAATTTGCTGAATAGTCCTGTTGTGCTTATGGTTAAGGGGAGGATACCTGATGACAGTATCAGGGCTTAACTGACTAGGTAGCAGAGATATGGGGAAAGTAATAAACACGTCTCACAGGCAGCGTAAACAGGGGGGTAGGTTTTTTTTTCCTTCTGATCTCTATTATTATTACAATTCTAGTTGCTGCTTGTAACAGCAGATAATGGAGGAAGCTGGAAATGGAATAGATGCTTGCAATTCAGTGCATTGCTGCACTTCCTGTGGGCATGCACAGAGTGGTTTCTGTGCCTTTCGGAAAGTGTGTAGTCCAGTGGCTACAACAAATGGCTTTAGAAATAACTTCACTCGTGTTTCCTTACACTTGAGTCTGAACTGTTGCCATGTGAAGGAACATGTTGGGGAGGTTCCTCAGTTGGCTTGCTTGAGGATGGTGGGTCTGCAATGATCTCCTGGAGTTCCAGGTCCCAGGGGAAAGATTTGATAATTTCATTCATTGTTTAAGTTGTTACAGCTGCTTTGTGTGGCCTAGGCAATCCCCTTGTGCTGGTGGGGTGGAGAGACACTGTGGAGGTCCTGGACGGGGGGAGATCATTGTGGGGGGAGTATGACATGAAAAGGAAGGTGAAGAGAGAAAGACATTGTTAGGATTTAAAAAAAAATACTGGAATATGACATAAATATCATGAAGGCATTGACTAGCTACAGACTGATTGTTCCCTGAAATCTATCTGAAACAAGAAATTGACTCTCAAGTCAGTTTGCATTGTAGGTGCTGCAGAGTTTTAGCTTGTAATTTCACTGACAGGGAAATTTCATAGTCCTCTGTCTTTTTAGCTGCCTGTTGTATTTGCTCAGCAGAAAATAAAATGTTGGAAGGATACGTTTGTGTTTAATCTGCAGCTGGCAGAGGAGGAATGGTGCTGTGAGGACTCAGTGCAGGAATAGCACAGATTTAAAAAATAGAACAGTAAAGCCTTCTGCAGCTACATCATGATAGTTTTGTTGACTAGAGCTGTATTTGCATTTGAACATCCTTTTTGTTCACTTAAGTTCCGACTACATCAATTCACCTCAGTCTTTACCTCTGCCCTGTACCAGTGCTTTTTACTTTTTTGCCTCTGTAGTCCTTTACAGCCAGCTCAGGGATCTTCCTCCTCTGAAGGAGGGTTCTCCTTGGTCTTTCTCTAATCTCAGCTTGCAACAGGTCACTAGTCTTTGGGGGAGATGGTTTCCTCCTTGTAGGATGTCTTAAGACCTGTAGTCCCTTCAAAAGCCCTGGGTCTCCTTGCTGCCTGTGGATCTGGCCTGTGGTGCTGCAGTATGGAAAAGAGACGTTCCTGATCCCATGCACAAGGTCCAGCTGTCAGCAATGCTGCTGTACCAGGAGGTTTTGCTTTGCTTCTGGCTTAGCTGTCCGGGCAGCTGCATGCTGACACTTAAAGTGGGGACTCTTCCATTCTTTATAAAAAGACAGATGGTCCTCAACCCTTGTGCTTGAGCTGCTGACAGAAGATTTTAGTCTCATCTGTTTCCTTGAAATGATCTTCTGCTGTCTCACTGAGAAAACAGATGTTGTTGCTTCCCCTGCTCCCCCCACTTCTCTTGATTGTGTAGGAGTTAGAACTTCTACTTCTTTGCAGATGTTAAAAAAATTTTTTTTGTGTTCCTTCCTGGGTTTGGGGAGGAGACCTGCTGGTTACAGGAAGGCGAATTTGTTACAACATGCCACCAGCTTCGTAGAATGATAATAGGAGCTTTGTGTTCTAAGTTACAGCAATATGTCCTGTGTTTCATGATTGCAATTTGATTCCTATTGATGATAATGCTGTCTTTTGAAAGAAAGGTCAACAATTTATAATAAATCAGTATCTGGTTCAGTCACCATTTGTACAGCTTTGTAAAGATTTTCTGGAAGACTTAAGTGGCTTAAGAGAAAGTTGTGGGCAGAACAGGTTAGCCTGTGTCAAGATGTCCTGTGAATACTCCCATGGGTATTAAATTTACCCTTGAACAGTAGTCTCAAGCTTTCAAATAACTTGTTTTTCATTTTGTAGCTTGTTTCTTGTGCTTTCAGGTGTGCAGCCTGTTTATTTGTGTGCAACTGCCATGGTATGGGTTGCCCCAAGCTTGTAGCTTGTGTTTTGTCTAGACTCTTTCACTTCTGCTATATTAGCTGTAATTGCTCTTGGGTTCTCTTGTATGTGCTTGGTGGTTTTGTTCTGTTGACACATCTACAAGCAATGGGGTCCCTGCAACCCTAGGTTTAACAAGAATAATAATAAGAACTGAAAAGATTTTTTTGCCCTCTGATTAACTAGTGGAGATAATGGAACAACATGGTCTGAATGCAGATCACAGCAAGCATATTTTCAAAAGTTAGTATCCCCACAGCCGAACACCTTTGCTGTCAAAGCAGAAAGGGCAGGGAATGACTTGAATATCCTAACCTTCCATTTCAGCTTTGGAGCTGTTTTAGCCTCTATTTGAAACACAGTGTGAAGCAAAGGAAATCTTAATTGCTTCTGTCTTTGATAGGAGTGGTCTCCACATAGTTGTGGAGGTTAGTACTGGAAGCTCTCAGGCTGGTTTCTGCCGTCAACAGTTTGCTCAGGTAGTGCTAAAATACAGGATGGATCTGTGCTGAGTGCTGTTGAGATGGAAGTAATTTAAGAATAGTGTGCAGCGTTTCTTAGAAGCCCATTGGGGCGTTGTCCTGGTTTCAGCTGAGAGGGTTAATTTTTTTTTTTTTTTTTTCCTTTTTCACAGTAGCTAGTATGGGGCTATGTTTTGGATTTGTGCTGGAAATAACGTTGATAATATAGAGATGTTTGTTATGTGGACCTGTTGTTGAGCAGTGGTTACACAGAGCCAAGGCCTTTTCTGCTTCTCGCACCGCCTTGCCAGTGGGACGGCTGGGGGTGCACAAGGAGTTGGGAGAGGACATAGACAGTACAGGTCACCCAAACTAGCCACAGGGGGAATTCCATCCCATGTGACATCAGGCTCAGCATAAAAGGGGGCTAGCCGGGGAGGGGCAGTAGCAGCTCCAGGACATGTGGCTCGAGGACAATCCCGTTTCAGGACAGGTCTGAGCGTGCGGTCTGAGTTTTACGGTCCTCGGGTGAGAAACTGCATTGTGTATCACCAGTTTCATATACGCTGTTAAGTACTGTTTTGTTTTGTTTTGTCTTCCCCTCTCCCTTTGCTATCCTAGTAAACTGTCCTTATACCAACCCACCAGGTCTTGTCTTTTCCTTCCCATTCTCCTCCCCATCCCACTGGTGGGGGTGGGGGGGGGGGTGTGTGTGAACGAGCGTCTGTGTGGTGCTCAGCTGCCGGCTGAGGTAAAACCACGACAGGCATGTTCAGAAAAAGTTGTTTTCCTGCTATGGCAGTTTTGAGTTTCAACCAGTTTCTTTCCTTTTCTCCTTTTTTTTTTTTATTTAAAAACTGCAGATCAACTTGAACGTGTGTTCTTGCGTCTTGGCCATGCAGAAACAGATGAGCAGTTACAGAACATTATTTCCAAATTCCTACCCCCTGTTCTCCTCAAGCTGTCCAGCACACAGGAAGGAGTTCGTAAAAAGGTAAGAGTGCAATTGACCATAATGGTATGCTGCCCTGATCAGGGAGAAGGAAATGCCCCTGATGTGTCATGGTTTACTATACTTGGATGTTCTCTGGTGGAGAAATTTACTGTTTGAGGAAAAGAGTGAGCCTGGTAGAGAATGGATTTATTACAACTGTTTGGACTTAAAGAAAGCAGTTATTGGTTGTATCAGCAAGGTCTTTTGCAAATGTGTGGCTTTTACAGATATGTAGGGGCTGCGTTTGTTTCCACTTACAGCTAGCTAGCTATGAGCTAGCCTGAGGGCAAGACTTCCTGCCATAAAGGCAGTTGCTGTGGCTTCCCGGGTTGGGTGTCAATCCTCCCTGCCATAAAGGCAGTTGCTGTGGCTTCCAGGTTAGTGCTGTTGTGTCAGAAGTCAGGTGAATGCACATATAGAGCAAGCTCACTTCTATGTGCGAAAGACCATAAAGACATACTCATTGATGTCATTCACTTGTCTCATAACAGAAATATTATTAATGATATCTACCTGGAGGAATTCAGTTCCCTGGTACAGAAGGCAGCTTTATCACAGAATTCATTCAGGTACATATTAAATTCCACCTCCAAAATTGTTTGGTCCTTGCCTGGTCACAGGCATAGGAGCAAGGACCAAGCAGTTTTGGAGGTGGAATTTAATATGTACCTGGGGAATTCAGTTACCTGTATTAGATTATAGGATAAAAGCTCATCTGGACACCTGCAAAGGAGCACAGAGACACAATAGCAAGTGCAGGAAACTGTGTACACCCTGCCTCAGCTACTCGCAGGCCCATCGTAGGAGCCATCAGCCCATCAAAGGCTCACTTCCACAAGCCCAGAGGAACACAGAGGCACCATGGCAGGCAGGAACCCAAGTTAAGGACTCAGAGGAAGGGGCACCCTGTTCAGCTCTCTGTCTCAGGAGACTCTTAGCCCCACTGTTGGGACATGAAACCCATCAAGATGAGTCAATGCCAGAACACTTTTTGGACAGAGAGGGCACTACCTAGGGATAGTGGACACAGTGGGATGCAGGGGAAGAGCATTTTGAAATTGCACAAGACTTCTATGAGATGTTTAGTGGAGGAACCAAAGGCAGGGAAAGGGATGAACCTAGGTGATTTGGGGAGGAGCAAGTGTGGGTCTCTAGGAGTGAAGCCCACTGGTGAATGTGTGCCTCTCCTGGTTGGACCTGGGGGCATGGAGCTGTGGCAGCCTGCCTTCTGGGCTGTGGGGCCTGGCCCTAGTTCCCTGACATGTACCGGTCATTCCCTCTATTCCTATGGCCAGGGAAGGACCAAACAGTGTTGAAGATGGAATTTAATATGAACATGAAGGAATTCAGTGACGTAGCTGCCTTCTGTTGCAGAGATCTGAACTCTGTTTACTAGCAGGTTTTTTTTCCAAGACCTGTGTTCTTGCACAAGTCTTCTGCAGCAGCACTTGTGGGGTTGTGTAAGGGGATCGCAAACCCTAGTGTTAACAACAGAAGAGATCTGACCTGGTCTGGATTCAGGCAGAGGAACACCTGCTAGTGCTTCCTGTTCTGCCAGGAACCAGCAGCTGAATATATGAGATTTGAGCAGCTGGATCAGAAAGCAAAGGATGAATTCTTGTCCCTGCAGCTGTTCATCAGAAGCAGCTGCCTGGTGATAGAGGTGGACCAAAACTCTTCTGAGCAGAGTGCAAACGGACTGTTGGGGTGGTGGGGTGGAAAAGAAGCTTTTTATAATCCCCTCTTTGTCTTGTAGAAATAGGAAAATGATAATGCCTTCACTAGTTTTATGAGTAGATTTCAGAACCTGCAAGTAACTAGAACACAGATTTTTCTAGAAGTTCTGCACAAAACATGGTCCTGGGAGTGATTACATGGAAGTGGATCCATAGATGTGAAGCTGTTCCACTGTGCTGAAGGACAGATACTCCAACTCAGATGGAGGGTTCTTCTGAATACCTGCTTACCATGTGCACTTGAAGCTGTGAAGAAAGGCATCCAACTAGCTAGTGAAATTTCTTAGCATATTTTTACATGGTATTTTTCCCATAAACTGGAATGTATTATCTAGGGGTCTTTTTTTTGAGTGTTGTGGGATTCAGGAAAGGGGAGGACTACTCCTTTGAAAATTAAATTTTAAGAGGCCTCTCAAAATCACACAGCATTCTTATGGTACATTGTAGTTTTTGTGTTAGAATTAATAATGAAATAAAACTCATTTCTTCTTCCTTCTATGTGTTCACACTCTAGATCTTTATCTATACAAGATGATGATGATAATGTTATAAGCAATTACAGCACTTCCCTGTACTTCTTGGTATTTGTCAAATTCAATACAGTCAAGGAAATTACTCTGAATTCTGCTCTTTCCATATGAGTGAAGGGAAGCTGACTTTCTCAGTATTGTGTTTTCATAATAAATTCAAAATGTAACAAGAAGGCTCTGTATGTGTTGATTTTTTCTTTTTTTTGGTATTTATTACATAGCAAAATAATTTATCAGTGAGACAGAGGGGAGGGGAAGACTGTCAGTTTTTTATTCTGATGAACAGCAGTGAAGATTTGGTGTGGAGTGTATAACCTGCGGGTAAATCTGTTCAATGTGCGCATTGCCTTCTGTTACTTACATCAGAACTCAGCTTTTCAGTCTTCTATGTGGTCTTACTTTGCCATTAATGTGGTTGGAAAATGTCCTAAGAAGTCTGATGCTTTTTCAAATGCTAATGACTTTTAAACACAAATACCTAGCTTTCCAGTACTAATTTTGCCTGGTGGACAATGAAGAATGTGCCTATTGTTCAACTCAGCCTCAAAATCACGTTAAGGCAAAACCGAAAGTGGTTTGGGTTTTTTTGGGGGGGGTTTTTTGTTTGTTTTTTTTTTTTACCTGAGCACTCAAGCAATTGGAAAGTTAATCTAATAAAGGCTGATAAAGCAGATGAAATAGAATGGAAAGAGAAGGACAAACTCTTTATTCACCTAGTGACTGACTATAGGCAGTGACAGAACTCTGCCATCCCATGTCATGTCTTTCTCCCCCAGTTGTAGTGGTTGAAAACAACATCAACAAAGTGTGCCAACATAGTTAATTGTGGTGTGAAAACTTACACTATTTTAATTGAATTAACAATGTAGCTTTTAATAGTATAGGTATATGAGCTACAAAGAACATCTGTATTGCCAGTATGCTGCTGAAGTGTAGATCAATACAGTTCAAGGAATTCCTTTCACCCAGCTTTAGAAGCACAGTGTAATTCATTCTGTGCACCAGATGGGTTGACTTCACTCTAATTTTACTCTGACTACCCAGACTAACTTTCTTCTCAAGCTTGTACTGCTTGAATGGAAAGGAGAAATTAAAATTCCCTTCTTCCTGCTGCCTTAACATATTGCTTTGTTGGTCTTATCCCTACCCTTAATTTTGTGACTGTCAGGTCAATATTACTGCACTATTCAGTAATTTGAACTCATTGTCCTCATACGTTTCCAGATCTAGGGTGTAGTCTAGCTATGTGGATAAGCTTGCAATACCTATACTTTAAGCCATTTACGCTGAAAAGGTAATCCCTCTTAAAGCCATGGTTTGACAGATGCCTTGAATTCAACTCTCGACTGTCTTTTACCAAATTGGTTACCCTAGCAGTGTCACACAAAGAACTAACCCAGGGTAAATTTACTCTGCTGGTTCAGATATGCTCCAAGAAGCATGGATGCATTGGAGGCATTTGAGCCAGACTGGATACTGTGTTGCGTCATGCAGCCCATGTGAAGCCAGCAAAAACATAAGAAGCTGTCATGCTCTGAAGTGCATGCATTTGCCTGACGCAAGTCAGATGAATACTGCTGGATGAGATCCTTAGTGCGCTGATTTCATATTAATGATTAGAGAACCAGGACAAGAACTAAACCCTCACACGTACCCACATCTTTTCCAGCCATGTCTTTTTTTCACCAGCCACCATGGGTAATTTCACAGAATCGTAGGTATCAGAAGGGACCTCTGGAGATCATGTAGTCCAACCTCCCCTGCTAGAGCAGGATCACCTAGAGCAGGTTGCACAGGATCATGTCCGGGTGGGTTTTGAATATCTCCGGAGAAGGAGACTGCACAGCTTCTCTGGGCAGCCTGTCCTAGGGCTCGGTCACCCTCAAAGTGGAGAAGTTTTTCCTCATATGCAGATGGAACTTCCTGTGTTCCAGTTTGTGCCCATTGCCCCTTGTCCTGTCACTGGGCACCACTGAGAAGAGTCTGGCCCCATCCTCTTGACATCTGCCCTTTAGATACGTACAAGCATTGATAAGATCCCCTCTTAGTCTTCTCCAGGCTAAACAGACCCAGCTCTTTCAGCCTTTCCTCAGAGGAGAGATGCTCCAATCCCCTGATCATCCTTGTAGCCCTCCGCTGGACTCTCTCCAGTAGTTCCCTGTCTTTTTTGAACTGGGGAGCCCAGAACTGGATACAGTACTGCAGATGTGGCCTCACATTTGAACAGGTTCCTGAGACTCTGTTGTAGTCATATGTTTCTCTTCCTTCACAAAAAAAGTGTGTGCAAACAGTTTTTTTCCTCTCTAAAGTAATAGGAATTTGTGACTGCTGTTATAATAGGTGTCAGCATTACTTAGTTTGTCATCTTATCTCTGGTCTCAATCACATGCTTGTGGTCAACTATGCAGTTTCTCTAGATTATATGTGAACATTTTTTCGTTTCATACCTAGTCGTGGAGCGGATACAAAGATGATGTCTTAGCTCATATGCAGCTCAGCAAGCATATGGTTCTGCAGTTTCTATGACAAACTTCAGTGACAGCAATTTAGCTGCTTTTTCACCATAGTATGACCAAAGTAATGAGCCATCAAAAGCACAGGACAGTGTGCCCACTTTGGCTTTTTGACTTGAATTACTTGAAGTCAACATGCATTTAGGACTGGCTCTGTCCTAATGGAGCTGAGCTGACTCCATGTAATGTCACTTATATTTTTGTACCACTGCGCTTGAGAATCTGATAGAGCTTGTGAGTGAGATGCAGATGTTCGGTGTGATTTCTCAGAACCCACGGTTCCAGAGTGGAGGTTGTAGTTTTTCAAGTTCCTCCATTCAGTTATGGTATCTCATTTAATGGATTTACAAATGACACTTTGCTGATGCTATGCTAAGAAACTACTTCACGGGATTGTAGAATCATGGGGTAATTCATCTTGAATGGGACCTCCGAAGGTCTCCAGACCAACATCCTCCTTAAAATGGAGGAAATGCAGTTTTCCGAGCCAGGCTTAGTTTTGAGGGATAGTAACCAACTGTGTAGAAAGAACTGGTCATCCTCAGTAATCATTTCTTCCTAACATTCTGTTGATGAAAGTTACCGGTTACCGGTGGCAGGGTTTGGGACTTTTTACGTGTTTGTCTTAACAGTGACGTGAGGCATGTCAGAGTGGTTTCAAGATAATACAATAAGTGATGGCTGCCATTTTCTTATTAAATAATCAGGAAGCTCAGGCCTGATCTGTTTATAGTAGGCCTGCCTAGTGGACTGAGGGTGATGTGTGGAGTCCAAAACAGTAAAATTAATGGTGGTTCTTACAAGTTTTTTGGTTTTTTTCCTCTCAGGTCATGGAGCTGCTGGTTCATCTGAATAAGCGCATCAAAAGTCGTCCAAAAATTCAGCTTCCAGTGGAGACGTTGCTAGTTCAATATCAAGATCCTTCTGCAGTGTCTTTTGTCACTGTAAGCATCTGTTTTTCCAATAATAGTTACTGATTTACTTGTAACAAGAAGAATATTCTTTGAAGCTCCTGTATTTAGCTCTGTCAGTTTTCGTAGCAAGTATGTTATTGTCATGAGGTTGATGTTTCAAGAGATTTTTTAAACTAAACTTTATAGTCTGGTGTGGGTGAAACTTAATTTCATAAAGTAACTACACTATTGAGTCTGTTCAGATTACTGATAATTACTCTTGATAGTTCATGAATGCATGAATTGTCATTGCTTGTATTGTGGAGGGTCTATTAATTGTTAGAAGCTCCATTTTGCAAGCAGCTACCAATCCTTATCCTGATACGTGCAGAACTGGGGTCTTAAAACATCGTGTGTGATCAGAGTCTTACTTAAAACATCTATATTTCTCTGAACACATGAGAACACATATTTTTATGTGTTTTTAGGGTCAAGACCTTAGCTGAGTAAGAAAAGATGAAAACCCCCTTATTTTACAGATGGGGAAACTTTATTAGATGGTTTCATTCAATGTAGTTTAACAAGTGAAAATAGTTTTAAAATGCTTTTGTGAAACTATGAAGACAATTTTTATTTCAACTGTGGTAGATCTATTGCAAATCACCATCATGAAAAAAAGTGAAAAAATCTGAGGGAAATTTTCTGTCCTTCTCATTTGACTATTCAGTCATACGTTGCATAAATAGAAAACATAACGTCTTAGAAACTGATGGCAAAATATTTATACTATAAACAGCAGTAACATAGAAGTAATCTCAGATTGTCTTTAAGCAAGTGGGATTATCTGGAGTTCACCTTTTAGAAATGGCCAAGGGCTTCTAGAGCACATGTTCTGAAGAGCAGTAAAAGAACCACTGTTTGAAGACAAACCGCATAAATTGTGCTTTTGGCTGGACATGTCACAAATCTGTTTTCATTCATCTATCTGAGTGATGCATGTTGTTTTGTGCTATGAGGCTTCATAAAATTTTAACAAGTACCATCTACAAAGAACTGTAATGCTATCCACTTCAACACTGCTTTCAACCAGGTCATTGAACACATAACTCTTACCTCTACAGTTCTTCGCTGGATTTGGATCAACATGATAGCAGTTAGATATTTCAGTATTCAGTATTGCTCTGCTGTGCTGTCCTATCACTGGACTCTGTTTGGATTGCATTTGCAGCTTTTCATTATGATGATTTAGAAGAAATCAAGAACTTTCTCTTTCAAGAGAAACCTTGCCTATGCTGCTGACTTTGTATTTATTCAATATTGCTTTCTATTTTATTTCAGAAGTAGGTAAGAGAGAACATATTTGCTTTCCTTGAAGCTGTTGCTCAGGTAAACCTGCTTTTGGTGAAATTGTCAGCGAATAAGAGAAGCTAGAGAGAGATCTTTTGCATTGTTGTTTTCCTCCTTTTAAAGGGGAGGCTCAGCAAGACCTCCCCTTTAATAGCTGTCAGTCCAATGAGCCTTAGAATTAAGAAATTGGTCTTCCAAAACATGTTGTTTCCAACGCCCACTTATGTAACAATACACAAGAAGAGTTTAAAGAGCAGATATTTCTTTTGCATTGATGCAATACTGTGTGCTTTTTCTACTCCTTTAGAATTTTACCATAATTTATGTTAAGATGGGATACCCCCGTCTACCTGTAGAAAAACAGTGTGAATTGGCTCCAACTCTTCTCACTGCAATGGAAGGAAAACCTCAACCACAGCAAGACAGGTATAACTAGTTAAGCTTGGAGTGAATTCTGTTGGTATCATTTTAGTAAAATAGTATGTATACTTGTTAACAGTGGTTTTTTTTTTTCCTCGGTGACCTCTTCATTGCTTAGAGTGTTCTTGGCTTGTACAATTTGGATCAGCAATTCAGTAGTTGGGTGGTACAAAGAATTCATATAGTCTAATGTTGTAATAATATACAAGATCTGTAGCAGCAGACTTCCTGTATGATAAGAGGCGTGTGTTACAATGGATATGCCCTGTCCATATCCCATATCCCATCTTCATCAAATTCTGGTTTCCAGCCTAAGGCCAGATCTTCAGTAAATATCCTCTATCCAGCAACAGGAAGAGCAGTAAATAGCTCAGATTGGCCACTCTAGATTGTGAGATAACCTAAAATTCCTACTCACTTGAAACACCAAGTTGTAATAAATAAAAAAAGACAAGTTGGGAACTGCTGTCTACTAAGAACTTCTGGAAAACTGTTAATTATGGACCTGCTTCTTATTTACATTGAGATGGGTTTCCACCATGCTGGTACTGGAAAAGCTGAACAGTGTTGATCAACTTCTGCTCTAGGCAGACTCAGATTTGAAACTTAACTTTCTTATGGATGAGACTGTCCTGGACTGTATTTTGTGGCATATTTACAAAACTAAAAGTCTGGAGAGGCAGTGACTTTTATCTCTCCAGGTGTATGTGTGCACATGCATGCAGACATATACATACTATTTTAAGTGCAAATCCCAATTTATCTTCTGCCTTCTATTTTTGAGTACATCAGATGGCAAATAGAGGCCACGGGGTTGTGAATCAGTTTAACTTCTGTTAATATTTTTTTTGCTATAAAGGACCAGGTTTATTGTTAAAGGTTTCTCTCTTTAATGTTAAGAATAAACAGGTGTGGTTTTTTTTAAATGGTTGCAGTAAATATAATTGTTTTTCAGCCTAATGCATCTTCTAATACCAACCCTTTTTCACATGAAATACCCTGCTGACCCACTGAAAGCAGCAGCTTCTCCATTTAATCTTGCTGAAAAACCAAAGACTGTACAGCTGCTTTTGGACTTTATGTTGGATGTTCTTCTTATGCCTTATGGGTAAGTAAGAGTTAATACCAGTCTTCTCTAGTGTTGATGTGTTCTTTATGTGTGAAGCATTACAAACTGCATGCTGGGAAACATTTAAAATATGCTGTTATTTCCTAGCTCAAACGAAGCCAGTTACATGTTTCAGTAAGATATGAAGCAGGATCTGAATTTTAAGAATGGGATCACCATCTTCCTTATTTAACAAAATGCCTATTTTCTACTTAATTAGGTGTTACGCTGTTCTGTCCTTGACCTCTTTTGGGATCAAGGTGAAGTTGCGAGACATGTCAGCTATCTGTTAAATAACCAAACCTTTAAAATAGAAGCCAGACCAAAATGTGTGTGCTCATCTTCCTGCATTTGAGTTTTAAGGCTTATTCCTCCAAGGTCATAAGCAAGAGTAATCTCTGAAAACTTGTGCTTTCCAGAATTGAGCCTTTAATAACAAGACTTATCTTTCATCTGTTTTCTGATGAAAAATGTTTTAACTGTAATGGAGTGTCTTGGCGTGACCACTGTTTCTGAGAGCGAGAATAATTTGCAGAGCAACTTGAATTTACTGATCACTGCTTGTTAGGAATCTTCTAGTGTCTAAAATCAATACTTTCTCAAAATCTATTTTCCACTGAATTTTAGTGTCTGTGTATTGCTAGGGCAGCTTTTGCTTTGAAAGAAAATAGAAATAATTTTAACAGTAGAACCCATTTCTTGTTTCTAACTGGTAATTGATTCCTGTAGGATTTTTCTGAGCACCTAACTCTTGCTTGCTCAAGTGGATTAACCTAAAGGAATGACTTTTAAAATAGTAAGCATGTGCTGTTTCTCCATGTAGCTTTGCTGGAGGCCATGTTCCCATCAGATGTTTTGGGGACCACGTCCTTACCATCCGAATGTGTAGAGTCTTACAACTTATACTTTAAAATGCCTAGCCTGCTCCTCTGCTCACAGCTCATACTATTAATTTTGCCCAGGTTTATGCTTTTACCTTCACCCCCATACTGCCATAGCTGTAGCTTCAGCAGATGAAGTTCTTGGGCTTTGCAGTGAGACTTCACTTCCTTTCATGCTTTTGTACTCTGGCCAAGCATGACAATTTTTAAATACTCAGAGAGATGGGTAGGGGTGAAGATTTCGTGTTCTTTCCAGAAGGTGCTCAGAGCCTGTCTTCAGCTAGTCTGTGGCTCTGAATGTCTGTCTCTTCAAGTTTTCCTCTGAGAGTTTCCCAAGTTTGCCGCTGTTTACAGCTAATTTATGCCTTGTAGAACTTGCCCTGTCATTGCCCAGTTATGAATTAGCCTTGCCAGACCGCATGCAGTAAAACAGCCAGAAAGCATAACTCTAGGGCTTAAACCTCATAATGAATTTCAAGTGTTCAAAGTTTTAACTAATAAGACTTTGGATGAATGGTTATCCTTACTTTTGAGACTGTTTACTTCCTTTTGTTGCTTATGCGCTAAATGCAGAACAGATTGTGGCTGTCAGGAGCAAAATAATTCTTGTTGGTCTCTGCGTTACAATTCTGATGCCTTCATGTGTTGACCAGCTTTCAAGGATGCAGGTAGTGGTGGAGTGGCTTTTGTGAGAGTATGGAGATGTGCACAGGACAGCTAGACTAGCCAGTCTCCAAAAAGACTAAGATCTGTAAACTTAACCTTTATGGTTTTTGCTTTCCTTCCCTGCCCGGCACTAAACATGCCATTTGCCAAGGCTTTTTTTTTTTTTTTAATATATCAAGGGTGGTTTCCTGCCACTTCGTCGTGTTGCATAAGCTTCACTATTTCCCTTGTTAGGTTTGCGTTTTTCATAGAATTCATACAAATGTTGTTAAAGCTTTTAGTACAAGTTTCTTGAATGTGGTACTGTCTGAGTATTCACTTCTAATACGAAAGAGATCATTCTTTCTGGTTTGTAACCTGAGATAACTCTTTTCAGAAATGCCAGTGGATCCTTCCCTTTCCTAACCAAGGTTTGTTTTCAAACAGTTATAATGAGACCGTTCTGGCTCTTGCAGAATGTGCTGGGATAACTGGTCACTGAGTCTCAACTCAGTAAAATTCTGTCTTATGTCAAAGTGAAAGAATTAATTAAAGAAAAATAAATGAAGTTGGACAAGTAATTTTTATTCTGTGTTCTGGCATCTAAGTCAGCTGGCAATGTGGATTGATAAAGCCTCTAATGAAACTCCTTTCCCACCTGCTTAGGTTCGTATTGAATGAATCTCAGAGTCGACAAAACATGCCCTTGGCTCAGGGCTCTTCATCGAGTGGTGTGGGAGGTCCTGGAATCCCTCAGCCCCCTCCAGGGATGAGCTTTTATGCAGCCAAAAGGGTAATTGGAGATAGCCCATGGACACCAGAGCTGCTGGAACAGGTACTTGCAGCTGCGGGGCTGTTCCTTGGTGAACTGGGGGTAGTAATGGGGATGGCTACAGACAAGAGAAATGGAAGGCTGGAGGGAACACATGTAACTAATTCTGACCAGGTCTTCAGTTGCCCTGAGGGAATTTTTTGAGGGACTTCACATAATGCCTGAAGGAGCTTTGCCATGGTGAGAAGGGATGGGATGAGCTGGCAGTTCTCAGAGCTGATTACGAAGCAACCATGACTGCAGCCTACTCCTATGTTTTTTTCCTAAAGATATTAAGGTTGCAAAACTCTTGTTGATGAAGCATGCCTTTTCAGCAGAGAAGTAACAGAGTGTCAATAATTGTAACGCTGATACTTTATCGGAGGTCACTGCTTTGACAGGAGGCAAGTGGAGGGCACTGCTAAAGAGATGGAGAGTATGTGAACTTCTCCTTAGCCAGCAGGAGCCATCATTTCGGACAGCTGAACTGCTATGGTTATTGTAACACATGCTTTCTTGTCAGTAACACTGCCTTTACTTTCCCCACTGTTGAACAGTGTAAGTTGGGGATAGTGAAGTTCATTGAAGCTGAGCAAGTGCCGGAACTTGAAGCTGTTACTCACCTGGTTGTAGCCTCCAGTGATACCAGACACAGTGTTGCCACTGCAGCAGACCTTGAACTGAAGAGCAAACAAAGGTACAAGTTTGGATGTTTGGAAAAGGTGGTGCTAGTGTTCCTAACAAAGCTAGCTGCAATTCATGTAGTACTCCAGAGAGACTGCTCTGAAAGGAGGAAGGTTGCAGTCCCCCGTCTACCTGCCAAGCTGCCATGTATTCACGCAGGACTAAGAATGGTGTGGCTCAGTCTTGCAGCTGGGGACATCACTTGGGTCCGAAGCTGACAGCTTTAGCTCTCTGTTCTCAGTCATCTTTGCTATCACTTTGGACCCATTTTCCTACTCCTTGGTTTCCAAATTGCCCTCTGTGGATTATCGATGGTCAATAAGGCCTTAATAAGTGATTCGCGGTTAGTCAACTTACCTATATTGTCTTTCCCAGAAAAGTATACTTTAATTTAATTTATTAAGGGAGTAAAGAGACTAATTGTGAAGAGAACCATACTCTGGGAAGTTTGGCAGCCACTATGTTCTGCATTATTAAAGCTTTTGCATGTCTGCAGTCTACCTTTTGTTAGCTAAAGACAATGCTTCTGTCTTTAACCCGTCAAGAAGCCAGAGTAATTGCTCTTGGTACTATTTGCTGAGTCATTGATCGTGCAAGGTTTGCTGGCTCACGTAGATTTGGAGCGAGAGAGGCCTGCCTTTGAAATGTGTGGGTGGCTTCTGTATTACTAGAAGTATAGGACTATTTAACTTGGAGTCAAATACGTAATGTGAAACCATCTCCATTCAAGTCTATTCATGTGCCTCAGTTGTGGCAGGGGAGATGATTCTAGTAAGCAACGACAGCCTGGTTAAGGAAGGCAATCTCTCCGTTGCTGCTTGTCTCATCTTTCCCTTTGTGTTGGTATTGTTTGCCTGGAGAGCAAAATACATGTGTGGACAAAATGTATGTGCAATGTTAAATGTCTTTTATGCTAAATATGCTGGTTCACAGCCCACTTGTTTGGAAATCTGTTGCTTTACTGAAAGAAAGCAATGGTTCTGTCTCCTCCACTTTTTTGAAGCATGCATGCTTAACTTTTTGTTTTCTGTGGGGTGTTTTTTGGGTACGTGTCTGTGTTCCAAATAGTCTCATCAATAGCCAGCATTAGATGGCTGTCGTGGGCAGGCAGGTTTGTCTGAGAGACCAAGATGAAATAGTCCTAGAATTAAAAATACCCTCTTCTCTGTTGAAATGCCAAAGCACCAGGGTTGAAGAATGTGGAGAAATTTATTAACAGATGATCATTCTGAATTCAATCTGTAGACTACCATGGTTTATATGTGTTGTTTCAGTGGGAGAGAAGGGAGCATGTAGGTTTCTTACAAATTATTTGGAATTATATTGTCAGAATTTGTAGGTGAAATTTGTAATCACTTCACATTCTTCATGATTATATATTATGTGGATGTGGGAGGAGTGATTAGAAGTCTGTTAAAACTCTGAGAAGAATATGAATATGATGTGAAATGCTGTAGAACGCATTGTTGTGGTTTAACTTGGCTGGCAGCTAAAACAACCACACAGCCCTTCGCTCACTCCCTCTTCCCAGTGGGATGAGGGAGAGAATTGAAAAAGAAAAAAAAAAAAGTAAAACTTGTGGGCTGAGATAAAGACAGTTTAATAGGACAGATAATAACAATAATAATGATAATGGTAATAATAATAATAACATACAAAACAAGTGATGCACAGCACAATTGCTCCCCACCCAGAACTGATACTCAGCTAGTTCCTGAGCTGCCCCACTTCTTCACCAACCACTAGTTATATAGGGAGCATGAGATTATATGGTATGGAATATCCCTTTGACCAGTTTGGGTCAGCTGTCCTGGCTATCCTCTCCCAGCTTCTTGTGCACCATGGCCTTCTTGTTTTGAGAAGCTGAAAAGTCCTTGACTGCTTGGCAACAACTGAAAACATCAGTGTGTTATCAACATTATTCTCATCCTAAATCCAAAACACAGACCTATACCTGCTGCTAGGAAGAAAATTAAATCTATCCCTGCCGAAACCAGGACACACATATATTTTTAAAAGTAATCAAAGGTCGGAATTGTAACATGTTGGTATTCAATGTGTTTTTTTTCTTTAGTTTAATTGACTGGAACAATCCTGCTATCATCAATAAAATGTATAAAGTGTATCTTGGGGATATACCACTGAAAACCAAGGAGGTAAGATTTGCCTTCAGACTTGCATACCTGTTTAATTTCCGAATCTGTAATTTTAGTTGCCTTATTTTATTTGGAGAAGACATATATATATTTCTTAAATGTATCACTTCCTTTGATCTCTGCTTTCACTGAACGTTTTTGCTATTGAATAATTTTTTTCTCTGTCCCAGTGTGTTCTGATTTGCAGTAGAAGGTAATTTAGCTAACTTAAAAGTACTGTTGTCCAAAGATGCACTATATTATTTCAACTGTTTCCAACAGGGATCTGTTCTGAAACCAGAAATGAAACGAGAGTCAGTCAGCACCCGTGTTAAATTAAAGATAGTTCCTCATCTTCTGCGATCCAGGCAAGCTGCAGAAACGTTCCCAGCTAACATTCAGGTAATGCTTAAGTTCCAAAGCTGCCCTTCCTAATGAGCTTGATGATACAGTTCCTCCAGTACTTAGCGGAGGGAAGCATTGTTACTGATGAAAGTATTTAAAGAAGAAAGGGAATTAGAAAACCTTTGAAAATGAGGCAAGACAGTCTCTGATCTGCTCTCTATTCCTTTTGACCAGGTGGTTTATGATGGACTCTTTGGTGCAAACACGAATGCAAAACTGAGAAGTCTGTCCTTGCAGTTTGTGCATCATATTTGTATCATGTAAGTAATGCAGAGTGAGCACTGTGTTTTTTAGCTATTTGCCTAGAAGCCATTCTGTTTACTAAATATGTAACTGAACTAAGGGCAAAGAAAGAGTACTAAAACTCACAGAAAGTAGGGTTTTTTCCTTAATCTTGAAATTTGTGTGTGCTTGCACACATTAAGCTGTCATTTCTCAGTTTAACAAAGTTGAGAAAAAGTGATACTGAGAGAAGATACTTTTAAGGGGTGCAAAAGATAATATTTTGTTTATTGGTGTCTCTAATTGCAGTTGTCCAGAAAGTAAAATAAAGCCGTTAGGTCCAATGCTTTTAAATGGACTTACAAAGCTGATCAATGAATACAAAGAGGTAAGCTGAAAGGTTTTTTACTATAGAGTTATAATTCTTCATATGAATACAAGCAAAAAAGAAAGACCTTTATGATGGAAACTGATAAATCTCTTTGTAGTAGTTGCCTGAGATGGCTATCAAAGGATACTTTTTAAGAAATGTTGTTGGAAGAGAAGCAAATACTTTAAAAGGATATATAGGAAAACTGTTTTATTTATTTAACAGCTGTGGATAGGTGCTTGGACACTATTTGCAAAAGTCTCAGGAAATAATAGTGTTGGTAATCTAAAGAGTGAGGCCAAACTAGCATCTAGCTGCTGTTACTCATTACTCTGGAGCACACAGGGGCCTCAGCTCCAGGCGTATACCCTGTTGTGATAAGCAGTTGTATAGACCTGCTTGTAATACTTTCCCTCCTGTCCAGGGATGGTATTGCTATGGGAAGGGTGTTACAAACAGAACTGCAAATGCCAGTCTGCCCAAAGAGGTTTTTTCAGGGCCATTTCAGAAGGCAAATTCCCCATGATACTCCTACATGTATCTTAGGAAGTGCTGATGTTACAGTCCACCTCTTCTGCAGCTTTGATCCTCTTGCTGGTTCATTTGAACTGTTGGATGTGACCTTCTGGCCTGAGTCAGTGTTGAATGCATGGGCCTCCCCTACCATTGGGAAGGGCATGAAGAAGGAGTGTTCAGGAGGAAGTCAGCCCATATATAAATGTGCTGCATCGGTCATCTGCAGGATCCATTGGACAAATAGCTTCCTTTGTCTAAAGCTGCTGTTCAGGGCCAGTGTAAGGTTACTGTCCTTTTGCTACTGTTTCATATATTTGCTGAATCTCCTTAGCTGTCTCTCTTGGAATAAAATGTGATTAGCTGAGACCAGAAGGGAGACTTACATTTTGTCACCATTTGTAATTTTCTGTTTCTTGTAGAAAAGCATGCTCTCTCTGTTCCTGTGTAATGCTTTTATTTTTGGATACAATTGTTTTATGTTCCAGGATTCTTTGTCCATGAAAGCCTGCTTGAGCACTTTGGAGACTGGATTGAAAGTAAATGTTTAATGATAAAAAATATGCCTTTATGTATTTCTGGTTTTGCTGAATTTTATTTATTGTTTTTTCATTCAAGGATTCGAAACTGCTGTCAATGGCATATTCAGCGGTTGGAAAGCTCTCCAGGTAACTGAAGTGCCATTTAAGCAATGGAATATTGAATAATTTTTCCAGCGTAATCTCTTAATTTATCAGCAGCAAGCTTTATGCCACCTGCCAATTTTGCAATTGAGCATACAGTGCAGATAAAAGCATTCTTCTTGTGACATCTCCAGAGGTGTAAAAAGAAATATGTTTTTAGCTGATAGCTTCTCTAGCAGTGATTAATGGCAGCTCATGAATTATGCACAGAATTTAAGAAATGGTTCCACTTTCTGGATTGCCAGAAACATAAATTTAAGGAATGTACAGAAAAGACCAGAGGGTATGAAGCTAGACAAGTGATATGTTCAGTGGTATGCTGGTGATGTAAGTGATTGTCCATAGAATATCTGGCTTTCCAGACTGTGTTAAGGGGGATTGTGCTGTTCCATGGTGGAAATGGTTAAGGTAGAGCAAACTTTCTGTGCTGGCTCTGTTTTATTTGACAGTTAAAACGTGGGATGAGGGGAAGACCAATGAAATGTGAAGCATTTCAATTTAAAAAACCCAGAAACTTCATGAATTAAAATATCTTGTTTCAGCCGAATGCCTCAGCTCTTTACCAAGGATATAGCACTGGTACAACAGTTTTTTGAAGCTTTATGCAAGGTGGGTGCTGACAGGGCTTTGGGAAATTGTTAATATTTTGTGTTGGTTTTGCTTAATTCTTGTCACTGCACACTGTAAAGTGAAAACTTTTGGTTTTGTACTGTAGGAAGATGCTGATACTAGGCTTGCCATTCAGGAGGCCTTGTCTATGATGGTTGGAGCATACAGTAACTTGGAAGGAGCCCAGCGTACCCTGATGGAAGCTCTTGTAGCTTCTTATTTAATAAAGGTATTTTCAGTGGAGTCAAAATTAACTACCTTAAAAAAGAACTACTAATTGTTTTCCTGTTTCCTGACACTTCCTGTTGTATACTTTTGGAACAGGTTTCCCTTTTCTTACTGAATGTATTGGCTTCTGTGGGTAAAGGGGGAGTGTATGCTCAGATGAAATATTTCTAATGTGGTACAGTGGCTGCAAGAAGGGTGACAATGCAATTTTCTGTTTGTATTCTGTTTTGCAAAGAGACAAAGCCATTGCGATTGCACTGTATGTTTCCCAGAGTTTCCTCCTAGGAAAAGCAGGTGCTTCAGGACAGTATCTTGTGAAGTTCTTTGTGAAAGCAATAGTTTGGTAAAAAGGATCATTCACTGCTAAGTGGGGATTTCAGTGTGCTGTGTGATTTCTGACATTATAAGGCACTTGGGAATCTCCCCAGGAACTCAGCCTCGAGAGACTAATCCAGAGGAAGCCACACTTCACTGACTCTGTTACTTTACTGAGTATCTTGTTTGTGTTCGGAATTCCCCAGAGGTCTGAGTTTTCAGACAGAGTGGGTTTTGTATACTCTGTCTTTGCATGGGTACTCAGGGTGGCTGCAGAGGTATATGTGTAGGAGACTGTAGTTATAAATGTGTAGGATACTATTTTCATGCTGTTGACTCTTTTGCCTGGGTGCTCGAGCGATCTAGGTCCAGGCAATACCATTTTGAGACTGACTGAACCCAGCAGAGAGAACGACCACCCTAACCTAATGTTTCTTTTTCACCTCTGGCTGTGCTGCTTCTAAGCGCAGCTCTGTTTTGTGTGGATGGATGATGTATGTCATTCTTCATTTCAAAACTGCCTAGGTGGGGCAGTTCAGATCTGTAAGAATTAGCGATAACCCTGATTTATGATTCCCAAAATTGTGTGTATATTTAATTAAACATGTCATTCTCCACTTATGTGTATATGAGAAGCTAGCTTTTCTTTTCCCCATCTCCTGCCTTATGAAGAGTTAGCAAGAACAGTGTCTCAAAATGTCTTAACTCTTTGAGTCATGTTAGTACCAGAGGACAAAAGAGATAACTGATAATTTACAAATAGAGAGTGCAGGTCATTAGTGTGTTCATTTAAAACTCAACCATATGTTTGTGTTTCTTCTCTTTAAGCCTGAAGTTCAAGTACGTCAAGTGGCTGTGAAATTTGCTAGCACAGTATTCCCTCCAGATCATATCCCTTCCAGATACTTACTCCTGTTAGCTGCAGGAGACCCGTAAGTTGTTTTCCTTTTTTAAGTTATTTTCATACACACACATATGTATTTGCATCCAATATATATTTGGATGAAATATGAATGCATATATATGTGTGTATGTATGTACATAAAAACACACTCACTGAATATCAAATATAATAATTGGGAAATTAACCTTTACATAGGGGCATTCTTGACAGTTTTGTGGAGAACTGTTACTGTGCCTTATGGTAGTCTTTGGCTTGAATTCTTTTTCTTGTTTCAGATTAACTGCTGTCACTAAAGCACTTCATGTTAATGATTAATTGCAATTGCAAAGTAAAAACGCATTAACTGAAATCACCTTTACAGTGGTTAGAAATTATTTTTTCCTGGCAAATTCTATCAGTCTATTTTTAGCTTGTATTTGCAAATAGTCAGGAGCATGCACTTGTGAGAGTTGCCACTCTCTGCTGGGGAGTAGTCGACTCATTAAATTACAGTAATAATTTCATTTGCAGTTTTCTGTTACTGCAATTTAAGCGGTGGGGTTTTTTCCAACTTACTTTAATTGCTCAATTTTAGACATTAGTAGCTATTGTGTAACTCAGGAAAGCTGAACAGATCAATTGCAACAAGCCGCCATTGCAGTGTAAGCTCTGTTTCAGGAGTTGATCTGCTAAGTAGATAGCAATAAACCTGGTAGGTGTCAGCTGAAGCTTGAATATAGGAGGTGATGGGGAGGAGGACCAGATAGGAAAACAAGGATGTGGGAACCGGGAACTGTTGGTGAACACTAGCAGGATGTAAGAGGAGCAGAAGTGGGCTGATCCAGACTGTTTTGCAGTGGCCACCCATCACTATCTTATTTCTTCGCCCTCTCTAAAATAAACAAATCATTAAAAGTTCTAATGCAAACTTTTTTGCCCTTCCTTTCAAAAAAATACGTCTCATTTAAAAACTGTTCTCTCTCCCCCAGCTTCCCAAGATAGCTTATTGCTCATTAAAGGCCATTTGTTCTGTGCAAGTAACGTCTGTTTTTCATCTTTTCTTCTGAAAGGCGGGAGGAGGTACATGGAGAAGCCCAGCGGGTGCTGAGAACATTTCCTGGTAAAAATGAAAAGGAGAGTTCTGGAAAGCAGATGCCTGCCTTCCCTGAAATGGTCCATTACATTCAAGACAAGGTACAGTGCTTCTGTCCCAGTAAAGGACAAATACATGCCTGATGCTCAGGCATGTACTGAGTGTGGTCTTCCCTTCCTTTGGATCTGTCTCCCTCACCGCCCCCGAGGAAGAGTTAGCTAAAATCACAGTGAAGACCACACATAGTATTGCATTGCCAAGATTAGCACTCATTGTTATCTTCTGCTGGCAATAATTGCAAGAGATCCAACTGTTAAATAACAAAGAGGCAGATCCTTTAACAAAGGGATTATTTTGCATTGATACTGTTTGTGCAGAAGATGCGTGAAGCAAGGAATCCAGTGTTCAAGGATGATAATCCAGCATGTTTCACAAACACAGTTTGCTCACAGACATGTTCTTGAAGGAATAGGAAGATCACCCTCTGGTTGGGCTAGTATAATAAACCAGAAAAAAAGATTCCAGGCCAAGAAAGGACATACTAGAACAAGTGGAGAAGTCTGGTTTGTTTACTTAAAGGCTTAATTATTCATCATCATTGCAATCTGTGGAAATATTGGCCATGTAAATAACCTTTCATGAGTCCAGTGGAATGATATGCCAAAAACTGTACACTGAGTTTACCCTCACTGTTTGCATGGAGAGATCATCTGTAGAGGTGTTAAAATCTAGTCTGTATTATACTTCTGTGTATGGTAGCTATGCTAGGCTTATAAACTATAAAGATTATGTGAAAGGTCACATTACTTCTTTTTTCCTCTGATAGCCTGCTTTTTAAAAAAAAGTCAGAAGTATTTAATGTTGGAGCACATCTGGTTTTGCAAGAGGTCTGTGATAGGAAAACTCTTATGCATGACAAATTTCTTGTGAAATGTTGTATACTCTGCTGTTGTACTCACTGTTCTACTCTGCTAGTATATGAAGTATTTGAAGCTTTATGAAAAAAATTTGCTTTTGTCCAAAATACTGGTTATTCAGATAGATGTAAAAAATTAAGAAAGCAAGATTGAGTTTTAGATAACACTATTAAATGTCTGTCCCCTTGCAGTTAATTTTTAAATTTTCCTTGACTTCTGTAATGTGACTTCTGTCATGGATTAGGCTAGTTTAATCACTGCTGGGAAAACCAAGATTCTTTCAGTCCTGGGTGAATTGAAAACAATTTTTGAGCACTTTTCAGATCTTCCTTACATCATCTGAAGGCATGTTAAAAAATCCCTGAGGTACATTTCTTTGATTAGTTATCTCAAAGTGTGAATTTTCCATGAAAGTGTGAATATACCATGAATAATCTGCAAGTGTTGGAGATGTTTGAGAAGTTTGTATGCAAACCAAAGCCACGGGCACAGCAGACTGAGATGCAAAATGGCTTTCCTGCACGAGTTAGTATGATCCTTCTCTCGCTCTGCAAGAAAGTATATGTGAAAGAGTAGGGCCTGATCTGCTGAGTATGGATGGGAACCCATTCTTCAAGTGAATCATCTTCTGGTTTGCTAATTCAGGTTTTTGCTAGTAGTTCTGGATGTCACTGAAGTTCCAGTGCAGCAAAAGATCTCAGCATGTTAAGAGATCTGACAATATGTTGACTTCTGTGCAACTGCCTTGTGTGTTTATTCAGATGCAAGGCTGCCTTGCTGAATCCAGCCCTAGCACTAATGTGCATAGCGCCTAGAGAATACCGCTTTTCTGCAGTGTTTGCAGTGGGTGTTATTGGAAGCCTTCTGTTGGGGTGTTTTTCTGCTGGAATATTCCTGCTTGTCAAAGCTAACGTTTCCATGGAAAGGAGTTACTTGCTGCAGCAGCCTTCTACCTAGCAGGTAGCAGGGTCTGAGAGACTCCCTGGGCTTGGCTGGTGCAGCACAGTGCACCTGCTCCAAGCACTGGCAAAGCCTGGGTACTCTGCAGCCTCTTCAGGCAGAGCTGCTGTTTCCAAGCTTCCTGGCTGCCTCTCAGCGGGGACACCTCCGAGCTTGGAAGTATTGTGTTTTTAAACTCTAATGTTGTCCTCCAGCCTCCCCTGCTGTTCCCTCTCCTGAATTCGGGGTTGCCACTTTCTGAGTTCATAGGGATGTAAAGTTGATGGACCTAAAGTGTATTATTATCAAGTGCACTGTGCCCTTGTTGTTATAGAACTGTTGAACATTTTCAGTTGCTAAGTGGAATATAAACATAGTTACATCAGCAAAATTTCCTTGACCTTTCCAACATCTCTGCAGTTCATGGGTCTGACTGTTCCAGTCTTAATATATTCTGTTGTTTAGGCCTCTCACCGAATGAAAACTCCAGCTAAATATATGACTGGAACTGCAGCGTTGCCTTTCAATCCTGCCACATTTGGAGAGGTAATTGTCTGGATTTACTTCCTTGGATATGTGTACCGTTATTTATTTAGAGGACAGTATAAGAAGCTAACAGTTACCATAAGTCACCCTGCATTCTAAAATTCCTCTTTTAAACAGATGTTGGGATTAACTGGCCATCCTTTAACTGTCCATCCTTAAACAGCAGCCTGAAAGGATTTTCAAAAGGGGTGGGAGGAATGTTCCCGAGAGGGCGGCTCCACTGCTTTCTACAGCATACCTAATGTAATAGCTTCTCAGAGGGAGAAACTGGCAATCCTGTGCAAAAGTCCCATTATACTCCTTGAGGCTGTTCTTTTCATAGCAGATTCCCTGGCTTCAGTGATCTGTAGACACAAACTCAGCAGCTGTGATGCAAGATCTGTATTAGCAATGCATTGGATTGCATTTGTATGCATGCCAAATTGATACAGGATACGGGCTGAACTGCCTGCAAGGAGATTGCATCAACTGATGATAAATGAAAAATCTGTGTATGATTTAATTTTTTGAGAGTGATGCAGGCACTGTAGGGTTGTCTGCTTACACAGGCGTATTGCAGAAACTGGTCCTAAGACTTGTTGTGCTTTCTATTTGTTCCTGACTCCATGCTGACTCTTCTGTCTAGATTTGATTGAAGAAGAAACTGTCTTGGTTTGGTTACATTAAATACAGCATGCTCCCTGCTCTTTTATTTAGTCTCCTCCATGGTTTTCCAAATGCTCATGCAGTCAGTATCCTGTGTTTTTCTCTTCTCTACTTAGATAGTCCTGTATCTGCGGATGTGTCTTGCTCACAGTGCAGGTGTGGTGCCAACCTCACAGAGCTTGGCAGATATGCAAGATCATGCTCCAGCCATTGGACGTTACATAAGAAACCTCATGTCTGGCAACCACATATCTTTCTCTTCTTCCTCCTCTTCAAAAAGTGTAGAAACCAACCCTGTACATGTATATATTGGCCTTCTTCAGCAGCTCTTAGCTGGTGTTGGAGGTAAGAAGCAGTGTGCAGCATCATCTTGAAGAAAAAAATGTTTTCCCTTATTAGAATGAGTCGCCACACCGGGTGTTTTTAACTTGGCTGCAGCAATCACAGTTGTAACACGGGCTATATACTCTTCAGTTTAAACTTGTTCTTTTCTATGCTGCTGTGCAGGTGGGAGGAAGCAGGACAGTAAAATTGCAGCATCACTTGACATAATGCATTAAAATTGAGACGCCATTATCTGTAACAGCTCTCTCACCAGTGAATACTGTATCTTCCTCACTCAGATTATAGCGTATCAGTGACAAGTGTAGTCTTAAAGCACTTGAATGCCTTTAGAAGAAATTGCTACCAGAATGCTTGCTTCTATTAGTTTCCCTAATATTTCTGAGAAATACTATACCCTTTTATTCTGTATTATTTGTTATCCCTAGTGAATTGCAAATGAATACTTTGAAATGCCTGATACCTCTTAACCTCTTTTTATCACTGATTGTTAGATTTTTGTAAATGCTGCAGTTGTTTAGTAACCTAATTCTTTAATTACTGTTTAGGTTTGCCAGTCATGTATTGTCTTCTAGAAGTTGTTTCAGTGTATCCAGAAAAACTAGCTACCAGATTTGTAGACAAAATGGATTGGATAAAGGTATGCTGAAAACCCTTTTTTGGGGGGGGTGGCGGGGTGGAGGGGGGTGTGTGTGGCATTAGCAAAATCTGGCATTTTCCCATGGTGGAATTGAGTATTATTTCCAAGTACACACTTAATTTGAAATCTGGTATTTCTATGTACAGTCAGCACCTCATGAGATGTTATATGTAGCAGGATGGGGAAAATTATTTTTTGGTTCTTTGGTGTTACTGATTTTTATTGACCTACATGTTCTGGGTAGTCTATGTCATTGATCCTGTTAGTATGGTCAGTCAATTTTTCCCCTTGATCAGAAGATCCATTAATCAACAAAAGAAAAATGAAAACTGTTTAACAGTGGGAATGTTCCAGAGGAAAGATGTGAGTGGCTTCTCAGAAAATGAGAATAATTAGATTGCTAATTGTTTTAGAGACTTTTCTGTGGAAGTTTTTTTATTTTTTTATTAGCCTCAAACAAAAAAACAGATAAACTGGAGCCTGCTTGGGAATAAGACAAAGAGAATTCTGCTTTCCCTAGATTCTTCTCTCAGGCAACTTTCTGCTTTTTCATGTTTTGATTCAAGCGTCCAGGATTTGCTAAGCTCTTAAAGGTTGCCATCACTTTCATTGAGGGAATCTGGCAGAAAAAAATACTTGGTTGAGTTAAAGAAAAATTAGAATGTTTTCTAATAATTTCTCCTGCTGATATCTGTGCTGCACTGTATACAGTTTACCAGATCTCATTTAAGTGCAGGTATGAACCTCAAAGGAGAAGACTTAAAAACATTCTCCTTTTCAGTATTGCTCATCAGTTCTTGAAAATCTTTTTCTTTGGCCTGGTGTTCATTTGCATAATCAAGCTTCTAGGGGTGGTAACTGATATTACCTAGTTCCAGAAGTAGTGTTGTAAATCATCCTTTGTGTGATTTCTCTTTGTCAAGTGGAAGGAGCAGGTCCAGGGGTTTGTTAGAAGTCAGCTATGTGATCTGATGAAAATTGAGTTTAAGTTAGAGTTATGTTTCATGAGCCTGGGAGATTTCATTTCTTGTTTGTTTGCTTGGCTCATTTTTTCTGCCTTCTTGGTGGCCCAAGTCATTCAAAGATTTGGGTATGAATTTTTCACAAGTGTGTTGCATTATACATCAAATTAGTGGCAGAGATAAGATTATATCTTAACACATGACCTGAGGCTTCCCAAATTCAACTTCTTAACAATTTAGATAATACAAGGTCTCTAATACAAAGTGGATAAATTGGCATTTAGAGGTGTGATTTCCTGGACCCTTTTTTTAAATGTCACCATTGGATTTAACTGGTTTAAACTCTTGAGTATTTTTTCCCCTTTGATTAATAAAAAGGAAATGGAAGTCTCCAGTAGCTCAGGAAAAATAGTGTCTTTAGAGGGCTTTTTAGCTCAGTATGGATGCAAAATGTGGCAGCTCTTCTCTGAAAACAAAATTCGGCCAAGCATTCAATGAGCATGTTTAACGCAGAACTGGTGGGTAGTCCTCCTGTGGCTGATGGTGATATTGCTCTTAAACTTTGAGTGTATAATGAATGCTGAACTGAGGGTTTTGTTTCTCAGTAAGTGATAATGCTGTCGGTTTAAAGAGTGATTTCTGTGTTAAGAACTACTTACGTAGCTGCATGACAGTTATGCTTCTGTATTGAAGCTTTGTATGAACAGACTGTGTAAGAAGCTGCTTCCATATTTTATGTTTTTTAAAAACTCCCGCAGACCCTGATGAACACGAACAAAGAAGAAATGCGTGAGCTTGCAGCCCTGTTTTATTCTGTAGTGCTGTCTACCATGTCTGGAGATGAGCTTAAGGCCTCCTTGGAGCAACTGATCAAGATGACAAAAGACAACCATGTAACTACCTTTCTTTGTCTGCTTCTTCTTGTTTTTTCTTGTGTCATATAAGTGATAGGAAATCTGAATCTCACAGTGTGTCCAAGATGTATTAACCTTAATCTGAGTGTAAAATTAACCAGCTGACTTCCAGTTGGACAGTGAGAAGAGATTTTTGTTTTAGGTGAGTGCCACAGATCTTTAAATAAATTAATCCCCAAAGCTGTTAAGGTCAGCGGGAGGGTTTCTGGAGACACTTCCCAAGCAAAGCCAGCACTGTCATGTATTTAACCAGTTTTAGCCAGCTTGATATTCCTTGTCCCCAAGATGGTTTTATATCGTTCTCACTGAAGGACTTAATGGGCCACCATTTTACACTGAAAGTAACAGGTTTAAATGCTGACAAATGCTGATCGCTTTATGCTGTGTATAACAAACATGATTTATTTTGAATCTGTGAAAGCTGTGTCTGTGAGCCAAAGCCATGTCATTGCTCAGTTTCACGTAGGGTGCAGCTTCTGCGGTCACAAAGCCAGCACAGATGAGTCCCAGTCCCCCACGGCTGCTTTCTGCCCCAGTCACCCGTGAAGCTGACAGAAAATAGAGATGTGAACCACGAAACAAGCAAACAAAAGCAGGGTGCTTCCCATGCATTTTTGAGTTTGAGTCAGTCAGAGCTCTGGTTTGCTGCGAATGTACAAAACCAGCTGAATCTGTACAGCTAGGGATGGTGGTGATTTCCAGTGGCTCAGTAAGGACTGCAATGTAAATGGGTGGCTGAAGTGGAGGAGGGGGAAGCACGTGTCTTCAGCTGACTTTGCTGCTGTGAGACCACAAGGAGCAGTCCCTGGTGGCCAAGCTAGGCTGTGGATCCCATCCCGCCAGCACAGTTGCACTGATGCAATTTTCTGCAGGGCTGTAATAAAAACCAGATACGTGAACTAATCTGAGTTTAAGCCCCTGCCTCCTTCTCTTTAATTAAGGTAGCATTTAAGTTTCACGGCCTTACTTCTGCACAAAATCCCTTTCTTAGAATTCACCTGTGGAAATGAGCACTGTCATTAGATAGTGTCAGTGCCAGATCAGCATTGGAGAAATTAATGTTCTTGATATTTAATTGTAATAATTAGTTTTCACAGTCTGTGGCCTACTGAACTGTCTAGAGGCATTGCCTTCAGTGTTTGTAGGCCAAGTATGTTCTCATTCTTAGCAATGCAAATCTAAAGTTATTTCCTTTTGCTGCTTTTTATCAAAGAGTGTGTTTTGTCCCCTTAATATATGTCCAGTTTTTAAGTAAAGACAGCATAGTATTATCTTAGTTTATCTTCATAAGTCTGTACTTAACTAATTAGATGAGTTGGATTTTTTTAGTATTTTTTTTTCCCTAGCTGGCAAGGGGTGGACTTTAGGAAAGTGAGAGCTGGTGATAAGTTCTTAATCTGTCTTCCTAAGCCTCTTCTAAGTTTTGTTAATTTGTCTTAAAGGTCTCCATCCATCAGAGAGCACTAGCAATATCAAACTCTCTGTTAATGCATTATGTGTTAGAATGCTGTGTTCTTCAGGGTGCCTTCTCATCTGGCTTGTCCATATGTGTTTTTAAATCAGTGCTTTGTGCAAAGTGTCACTTATTTTGAAAATGAGATTTTCTGCACTGTTGGTGTTGTCTGTAGACCCCGGAGGTCCAACATGGATCCTTGTTGGCTTTGGGATTTACAGTAGGAAGGTACTTGGCCAAAGGAAAAGTCAGAACAATGGAGCTACATGACATAGAACAGCCAAACACTGCAGTCATGCCGGAACAAGAACAGCTTATAAAGTCGACAACAGAGACAATAGGTAACTTCCTGCCTAAGACTTTGCTGCATGTAACAGTTATTTTTTCAACCACCCCAGGCTGAGGACTTTCCTAAGATATTCAGCCCATAGATACTGTAATATTGAGTTCATTTTCTGTGATAGAATTTACAGCCTGTAAAAGTGTCATCTGATTAGATGTATGGATGTACGCTTTTTCAACAAGGATTAGGTGGGCTTTTAGCCCATAGATCAACATAGCACAATTGGGAGTGGTGCCACTGCTTAGACTCCTCTCAGTATATCCTTTCACTTTTATTTTGTTCTAGCATAACACTTCCTACCAGCTGTAGAAGAGAGAAATGCTTTGCTTCTTGCAAGGGTAAAATGTAATGCCCACTGCTAAATAATAACACAAAATCCACGTCATCTTGTTTTGCTTTTTCCTGTAGGTTCTTTTCTGGACAGCACCTCTCCCTTCCTCGTGGTGGCTGCTTGTACGGCTCTTGGGGAGATCGGCAGGAATGGCCCCTTGCCAATCCCAAGCGAAGGAACAGGATTTACAAAGCTGCAACTTGTTGAAAGCTTATTGGCCCGAATCCCTTCCAGCAAGGAAACAAATAAGGCAAGATTTTGTAGTGTTGTTACGATTTTTGTTCATTTCTGGAATGCTCTATCCCCAGGTTGATGTATTACCTACTAAACTCAGCCTTATTTTTTAAAGGAATTAGGCTTATTGTTGGCTTTAGTGAGTCAGAATTAGGCTAAGGGTTTTCAGAATTAGGCTAAGGGTTTTTCCAGTATTGTCTAGGAGTTGATTGCTTGTGCTTTCTGCAGTTCTAAGTAGGAGCTTAAAAGATGAAAACCATGAATTTTTTAATTCAAGTCATAATTTTAATTCAAGAAAAATGTGAGTATCTTCTTTTACCTGGAAATAATCCTCAAAGGTAACAGGACATTTGTTTTGATCTGTGTTTTGGAAGAGAGGTGCACTGGTTAATCTAATAAGTCACTTGCATGTCTTACTTCTGGTACCTTAAGTGAAACTTCAGCAAGGATGAGAAAGAGTGGGTTTAAAGTGTATCTTCTGGACTTACAGGATGTGTAAGTGATGGTTGTTATGTGATGGTTTTGGTTTTTTTGTTTGTATTTAAGATGAAGGAACGAGCAATACAAACATTAGGTTACTTCCCAGTGGGAGATGAAGATTTTCCCCACCAGAAGCTACTGTTGCAGGGTTTAATGGATTCTGTGGAGGTGAGGCACTATGAATTCTTTGTACTGCAGTGCATATTTCTGTTTGAATGTTGTTTATATACTCTAGAGCCAGGTTTACAAGGGGAGCTGTCTTTTTGTAATAGTGCCTCTGGGTTTTTTAAAACTGCCTTGAAATAAAGAACAGAGGTAGGTTTGGGGCTTGTAAAACATTATATGCCACAGTTTAAAAACTTGCCAGTCAAGGTCTCTGCCTGTGTATGTGTAAATTCTTAAGAGCTTGTCATAGTGAAGCCATAGGTCTGTACTTCGGCTTTCAAAGCTGCCCTAAAAATAGATAATATGAATACACCTTTCTCATCGGAACTACATCAGCTGATGTAACTCATTTGAATTAGAAGCTTTTTTTATAGGACTATATGTATATGTTGTCAGTCTAAATGCTCAGTATAGTCCACTGCATTCTTTTGCAGTACTTCAGAGCTGCTGTACATATTGCAATATGCCCAATAGCAAAATTAAATAGTCGTGTTCTTCATTTAGAGCTTGTTTTACCTTTCTTCCTTGTTCATGCTGACATAGGATTAGCATTGTATAAGCAGCTATTGAGTATCAGACAGGCTGGCTTTTCTGAGTCCTCCAGTCTGATGTGATCAAACAAGCAAGAATAGTTAAGAACATCATGTACAAAAACATAAAATGATGTTTCTAAATGCTGTGTATATCTCCTGTAACTGCTTAGGGTCATTGCAGCTTCCTTTATAAAATGTGTACTTGAAAAAAACCCAAATTTATCTTAGGTTGCAGGAAGCTAAGGGCTTACTTCTCCAAATGCTTGAGCATTTTGTCCTTCCAGAGAGTAAGGAAAACAATCTAGAAGGTACTCAGCAGGTATGGAAATCAGTTCTTACAACTCAAGATTCATCACAAATAATAACAAAAAAGTGGCAGAGTTCTGCACATTCTGTTCCTGAGGGCTTAGAGACTAGTGGAAAGAGGACAGAGACGCAAAGCAAAGTATGGGCTGAATTATTCTCATGTAAAAACCAGATTTGTGCATCTCTTAGATATGATCAACTTCTGGATTGAATTACAGGAGAATCTTTTACTACTGCATACTATAATACAGCCACAGTAATTTTTGTTGATGACTTGCAGTCTTGTTCTAACCATTTTACTTTCATCCTGTCTCTCCAGTTCTTTCGGTTCACTAAGTTGAACTTTTGTGGAGACTAGCAAATGATTTGTAAGAGGCATGCTTTAAAAATAAGTGTGGAAATCTTAGCTCTTATGATTCGTCTTGGAGAGTTTGACATCCCCTCAGTTTCCATCAATTCCAGTGGGTCTGAGGTGCCACATGGTCTCAGAAGCTCACCAAAAAGGGATCTTCTTGCAAATTGGTGCTGAGAATTGGAGTTGAGAGAGAGGCAGTGGTTTTGTGGAGTAAGTGCAAAAAGTTTTAGTGTGTGTTTGATTAGTACTGTCAGTGAGGCTCTGTTGTGTTTTTTAGGCCAAACAAATAGAACTGCAGTTCACTGTTGGTGAAGCTATTACCAGTGCTGCTGTAGGAACCAGCTCAGTGGCTGCACGTGATGCGTGGACGGTCACAGAGGAGGAATACATCCCTCCTTCAGGTGGGCCTTCCTAATACAGGGGCTGGGTTGAGGAATGTAAAATTTCACAGTTCTGGACTAACACTGGGCTTCATAACTTTATTTATTTCTCCATAACTTTTTGATTTATAACAGTAAAAGTAAGAAACATTTTGTGTTTGTTAGTGCACTGCTTGGTGTTTTGCAATGTTGGATTGTATACAGGTCCTTTCACCTCTTCAAGTCCATCTGCTCAGAGGGTAGAAGACTTCATGTGCTGTTTAAATAGCTCCTTGATGAAATCTAATTCATTACCACTTGACACTGCATTTGTTTTATTTTTTTCATTTTGCTTTGCCGTGTTGCATTAGTTTCAGGTTTAACGTACATAAACCTTTTAAAATAGCATTTTGAAGCCTTCACTACAAAGTAGGGTTCTAAAATTAAATTGCAAGTCTTTTTCCAACAACTTGGACCAAGATGATTAAGTAAATGCAGAAATTCTATTTAAGGACTAAGTTTCTGTACCCAAGAATACAAGCATGACGAAATGCCTTCAAAGCAGGCAGCTGTAAATGTCAGCCTCAGACCTGTAAACAGGTGTTTTGATGTTGTGAGAGTGGTCTTAGATCTCAAGTGTACATAAACATACACAAAGCCGAGCATGTGCAGAATGGGGTAGAAACTGAACCCCGCCATTGCTCCAGAAATGTTGAGTCCTAGCAAAATAAAGTAGTGCACTGAATCTTACGCAGTATGAGTGGTACCTCTTCTTGGCCGCAGGCTCTGAAACACTTTCACAAAGGCTTAGGAGGACTCTATTCAGTGTTTCTATTAGTGACTCCAGTGAAGACTTTTCCAGAATAAGCAGACATTAAAGTGTCACCTGAGTATTCATGGGTTGATTAGGTTTTTCATTGCTGCTGCACATTATACTGAAATTAAAAATGAGTGTGGCTGATTCTCAAAGCTCTCCCCCTCCCCTCCACTTTTATTTCTTTCATTTAGATTTGAAAGTGAATGACGTGGTTCCCTGGGTCCTAGACCTTATTTTGAACAAGCACATTATCAGCCCCAACCCACATGTTAGGCAGGCAGCTTGCATCTGGCTTCTGTCAATGGTGAAGAAGCTGAGCACACACAAAGCAATTAAGGTAAGAAATATGCCCTTTCATAACACTGACTCCTTGTCCCTGTTCTTGCTTCTCACCTCCTTTCTGTCCCTTCCTCCCCATTCGCTTCCATTGCCTCTCTCCCCTCAGTGCTGCAGCAGTCCTTTCAGAGGTCGTTTTGAGACATAGGTTATCTTTTGTTACTAAGGGAACACACTAACTTTGACACCTTTGTAAACATCTGACTTCCACTCAAGTCAGAGTGAGCTTAGTGTAAATAGCTGTTATAAGATGAAGTAGCAGTACATCTTCCTTTGGGAAGAAGAGGTTAGTGTCTGTATAGTTTTTAGGATTTATTTTTGGGAAATATTAAAAGGAGGAGAAGAAAGAGGAGAACTAAATGGAATTCCTGGGCTCATTTATTTCACAGAGCTCATCACAACTTCTGTACCTAGGAGCAGTTGTGTGCTTCATGTACTGTGCATTTTTGGTGCGCTTTGATGAAACCCTTATATTTAGGGTGCTTGTCTGTAATGAGAGAATGTGAAAGGTCCTACACAAGGACTTAATAAAGCCTTCCCAACCAAAATGTCCTCTCTTTGCACAGAGGTATTACAGGCTGTGATGGGACCATGTAACCATTTTGTGCTGTCCAGGTAATGAATGATAAAGAGCTTTGGGACAATAAGTGCTTTGCAAATGTGAGCTGTTACATGTAAAACCTTGCCGCCTATTACACTCTTCTGAACAATGCATTTTGTGGGAGGTGGCAAAACCCACTAGTTTGAGGATGAAGAAAAGATGTCCTTGCACGGAGGATAGCCCCATCTAGCTGCAAGCCAGATTTATGATGCATTACTGCCATGTATTAGACAAGGAAAATAAAATACGTGGCTTATTAATGGCATGGTAGCTATAAAATAGCTATGGACAAATAACTGTTGTTTTCTGTGAATGTCAGTCAGGCTGCTGCTTGCCTGTCTGGAAAGGAGGGCAGTTCTTGTCACAGATGTAGCTCAAATAGGCAACTCCATTGGTACAGTAGCCTCTGTTTATCTGTTAGGAATTTGCCTTGAGACCAGATAAAGGATCCAAAACCTGATATAAAAATAATGTCCTTTTTTCTCATCTTACAGTCTCATCTCAAGGATATTCAAACTGCATTTGTTTCAATTCTGTCAGATAGTGATGGTAAGTACTACCACATCTTAAGAGTTTTGTCTTTTGGTGGGCTTTTAACAGAATGGAGGGAATCTCTGAACAGGGAGAAAGTCACCCTAGACCCTCTCCGTCAGTCAACATTAAGAGGTGACTGACATAGTAGGAATGATTTATTTTCTAGCCGTTGCATCTAGAGGTAAGCATAGCTTTTTCTCTGCTTTGCTAACCAAGCACAAATCTTTTTCTGCAGTTGCCCCTTCAGACTGCGATAACAGAAATTGTTCAGTGGTGCTACTTCTGCTCTGCTTTGGGCAGCAGGATGCATATCACAGGGTTCTGCATGGACAGGAACTCTTACCTCCTCTTTAAGCTAGCAGATTTTGGCTTATAGGTCTACCCATGACAGCCCTGGAAAGGGTGGCATCCGGCACCCTGTCCAAAGCTCACTGAAGTTGAAGAGAGTATTACCATTAACTTTACTGGACTTCAGGGGCCAGCAGTCTGTCAGAATACTTACAGCTCTCAGAACTCTCTCTGCTATTTCAAAACCTGTAGTGACAATATTAACATGAAGATGTCACCTATTTTGAAGGGGGGGATATGCCTTCAGAACAAATTGGTGCTTCAAAATGCAAAGCTTGTGTCTTGCCAGACTAGATTTGCTTTAAGATGGAGAGCTGTGAACTGCAGCACAGAGCTCCATTTGCTAGATCATTATTCTGGTTGAATCTTGTTTTTGAAATTTGTGTATTACTTGATTACATGCTTATCTTTATTTTGTAAAATCTCTTGCAGAGCTTAGTCAAGATGTTGCCTCAAAAGGTCTTGGGCTGATATATGAATTAGGAAGTGAACAGGATCAGCAAGAGCTAGTCACCACACTTGTTGATACCCTTATGACAGGGAAAAGGTACAGTGAGCTCAGAACACCGTGAGAGTACTCTGAGCTGCTTGTCTGATGGGAACAAAAATGTGCCTCTCTTGTGTGTGGAAATAGATGTTTTGTGGCCAAGGGCAAGCCAATATCTATGTATTGCCAGTGGATTAAACAGGGACATTTCTTAATTAGGCTTAGAGCTTGTTGTCGCTGAAGTTGTTCAATTTTTGTTCCATTCAGCAAAGCTTCAAAATGATAATTCAGTCCTGATTCAAGCAGTACAAATCAGTTGGGGGTTGGTTGGTTTTCCTACTTGCTGCATTGTGTAATTGCAAAGGACAGTGACCTCTTGCAGCAGCTGTGAACAATGTGAATGTTGCAGAAGTGGGGGGACTTGCTTGTGCCAGAAATGTACCTTTTGCTGAGAAAGGGTTGTTAGTGGTCACTTGTCAGCTGTAGTGCAAAAAATGCTGGTCTGACGGGACTCCTGACTAATAGTCATGTTGGTCAGTGCTGGAAATGCTCTTTAACAGCTTGCTCCTGTCTAACCTGGTTTGGGTGTGGCCACTGTGAATCGCAAAAATGATACTGGGAGTGTGGGGATCCAGTGGTGGTAAACAGGAAGAGATTAGATGAATGGAAATCTGATTTTTTTCATTTTGAAGTAGAGATTTGCTATCTATTATATGGCTTGTGTCTGGGCAGAAATAAAAAGATGTAATTCAGTGTTTTGATGTTTTACCTTCTGACTGCACAGCAAAAGCCTCACTTTCTGCAGCGTCTTGTTAACATTACAAATGATAAAGGTTAATGAGATTCCCTGCGGTGTGTGTGTTCTTGCACACCTTTATATTTTCCGTGGGATTGGAGCTGAAAGAATGGGAAGTTACTGAGTTAATAAAGCAAAACAAATTAACTTGTTCTGTAGCATGCAGACCATTCAAGGGTAGAGTTTAGTAAAGCTAACACTAGACCTCTTTTCTACCAGAGCCAAACATGAGATGACTGGAGAAACTGTGGTGTTTCAGGGTGGCCTGAGCAAAACCCCAGATGGGTAAGTTTACAGACAGTCTCAATGACAGACACACAATCAGTGCTGGAACAGTATTCCCTTGCTTATAAATCTGCTTCCTGAGTTTTTTGTTCCTTCTTGTCCTCTAAATTACCATAACTATTTTATTGTAGTACAGATAGGGTTATTCACTTCTCTCTGTCTGCTTTAGGCTGTGATTTGACTATAACTTTAGCTATTGTGGCATTTGTGTAGCTAAAAATAGTGACACCAGTTTCCCTTCTGCTTTCCAAAGTCAAGGTCTTTCTACCTACAAGGAACTTTGTTCACTGGCTAGTGATCTCAATCAACCAGACCTGGTGTACAAATTCATGAATCTGGCCAACCATCATGCCATGTGGAATTCTCGGAAGGTAATTTGCTGCTTTCGTACCATTTCCATTCCCACTGTGAACTCTGGAAACAGTAACTGTATTTCTCTAGCTCTGTTATATGATCTATGGATAATGGCATGTGGAGGCCATTTGTTGATACTTTGGTGTCAGGTCCACTGCAAATTTACCAGCCTGAGAAACAAATTCAGGATGACTTGAAATTTTTAGAACAAAACATTGGTATCACAGGGTTCACAGAATCACAGAATGGTAGGGGGTGGAAGGACCTCTGGAGATCATCTAGTCCAACCCCCTCTGCTAGACAAGGATCACCTAGAGCGGGTTGCACAGAATTGCGTCCAGGCGGGTTTTGAATATCTCCAGAGAAGGAGACTGCACAACCTCAACCTCTCTGGGCAGCCTGTCCCAGTGCTCAGTCACCCTCACAGTGAAGAAGTTTTTCCTTATATGCAGATGGAACTTCCTGTGTTCCGGTTTGTGCCCATTGCCCCTTGTCCTGTCACTGGGCACCACTGAGAAGAGTCTGGCCCCATCCTCTTGGCATCCACCCTCTAGATATATTTACATATCAATGAGATCCCCTCTCAGTCTTCTCTTCTCCAGGCTAAACAGACCCAGCTCTCTCAGCCTTTCCTCAGAGGAGAGATGCTGCAGGCCCCTAATCATCCTTGTAGCCCTCTGCTGAACTCTCTCTAGTAGTTCCTGTCTTTCTTGAACTGGGGTGCCCAGAACTGGACACAATATTCCAGATGTGGGCTCACCAGGGCAGAATAGAGGGGGAGGATAACCTCCCTTGACCTGCTGGCATAACCTCCCTTGGCCTGCTTGCCACACTCTTCTCAATGCACCCCAGGTACCATTGGCCTTCTTGGTTACAAGGGCACACTGGTGGGTCATGGAGAGATTCTTGTCCACCAGGACTCCCAGGTCCTTCTCTGCAGACCTGCTTCTCAGCAGGTCAGCCCCTAACCTGTACTGGTGCTTGGGGTTGTTCTTCCCTAGGTGCAGGACCCAATACTTGCCTTGGTTGAACTTCATTAAGTTCTTCTTCGCCCAGCTCTCCAGCCTGTCCAGGTCTCGCTGAATGGCAGCGCAGCCTTCTGGTGTGTTGGCCACTCCTCCCAGTTTAGTATCATCAGCAAACTTGCTGAGGGTACCGCCTGTCCCCTTGTCCAGGTCATTGATGAATATGTTGAACAAGACCAGACCCAGTACTGACCCCTGGAGCACACCACTAGATACAGGCCTCCTACAAGACTCTGTGCCACTTATCACAACCCTTTGAGCCCTGCCATTCAGCCAGTTCTCAACCCACCTCACTGTCCACTCGTCTAACCCACACTCCCAAAGCTTACCTATGAGGATGCTATGGGAGACAGTGGCAGAAGCCTTGCTGAAGTCGAGGTAGACAGCATCCACTGCTCTCCCCTCATCCACCCAGCCAGTCATACCATCATAGAAGGCTATCAGATTGGTCAGGCATGGTTTCCCCTTAGTGAATCCATGGTGACCACTCCTGATAACCTTCTTTTCCTCCACATGCTTGGAGATGACCTCCAGAAAGAGCTGTTCTATCATTCTGCATTCCCCTTTGAATCAACTGTGATCCTTTCCTTTTGAGTGTGCTTACAGGCCAGGTCTTGATGTGTTCAAACAGTGAGATAATATTTTCAAAACTGGATGAATTTTCAGATGCCAAATAAAGTGACCTTTGTAATGTAAAAAGGCAGAGCAGAAAGTATTCAGCAATAAGTTGCTAAAAAGCCATGTGACAGTACACCAGTTTAATCACTGTTGTCAAAAGTATCCTTTTTTAACTCAGGTCTTGGTATTTTAAAGCTACTGCCACTTTTAGCAAAGTCAAAATACTGTTGGATCTGCTTCCTGAAACAAAAAGTAGTATCATAAATTTCAAGATTTAAGTATACATTTCTGAGCTTTAATTGGGTGACTTTTTCACTGCCTTTACATAAGCATGGAAGAATTTGTTTTGTCCCTGGGAGTGGGCAGAGGACCTTTCATGTGCTTTCATGCAGAAGACCCAGGTAACTGCATCTTCTGTATTGCACCTTTCATGCTCTTTCATGCTCACTACCTGAGGTTTTGAGACTCTGGCAATACCACTTAGTGCAAAAAACAAGCCCCAGCATTAACTTTCATCCAGAGTTTGACAAGTCAGCTGTCTCTCAAGATTTCCCTCTCTTTGCAGTGAGACTTCAGAAGCACAGGAGCATAGTTAGGTTCCTGACCCTTGTAGAATTTCACCAGCCAGGATGAGTCAAGAAAATCCACTCAGCAACTGTAGGCTGCATTTTGGCATTTAAGGAAATGGCAGAATCATTTAAGTTGAAGGGGACATCTGGAAGTCTGTGCTCCAAACCTACACACAAGTGCTAGGCAGAGCAAGCTGCTCAGGGCCTTGCAGATGATGGCTTTCTTATACTTTCTGCATCTTCTTGGTCCTCACAGCAGTGGTCCTGAGAGTTTGTCTTTATTACTCTTCCTTTTCTAGACTAACCCAGACAGCACATCCTGTCCTGTGAAATCCCTAGCATAGGGGTTTGAGTGGCAGCTTTTGACACTGCAAGCCATGGAACATGAAATCATTAGAGGCAGTCACTGCACTGCCTGTACTGAGCAATTTGTTTTGGGGCTAAAATCCCCAAATCCTGTGGGACTTCATGGGTGAGCGGCAATTCCACTATGGTGGAATTGACAGTGTTGGAGAAAGGAAACAGTATGGAAGAATACTTGAGTTTAAAGTAAATATGGACAGATGCAAAATGATAACCCCCCAAAACCTGAGATTGGAGAACTAAGGTAGAGTTGTTTTCTTTTTAGTTTTTTCAGTTCCCAAGTTATTCTAGTTTTTTCTAAATGCAGCAGAGTTGTAGGGAAGCAGTGGCCCACCCTCACCAGTTCTTCTGAGAAAGAATCTCTTTTGGAAAAACATGTTCAAATCTTCATTGTTCTAATTCTCCACCATCGCTTTTGCAAACGAGGTCAATCGGTATCTTGAAATGAACGTTGGAGAGAAGGAGGTGTTGAAGTAGTATGTTGTCTGCTGAGTGTGGTTGTGCACTTGAGATTACCGTGGTGCTGTAGCACTGATGGGGGGGGCTAATTCTGGTACTATTCTAGTCCTTTTGATTTGGTGTAAATCTAAGCTGTGTTAGTCAACTTTGCCACTGACTGTGGTGTGCCCAGGAGATACAATTGAGTGAGTGAGCAGATTATTTCAACAAATACTCTTTTGTCATCATTTCAGGGAGCAGCTTTTGGTTTCAATGTGATAGCTGCCAAGGCTGGAGAGCAGCTGGCTCCATTTTTGCCCCAGCTTCTTCCTCGGCTCTACCGTTACCAGTTTGACCCCAACCTGGGCATTCGACAGGCAATGACGAGCATTTGGAATGCCTTGGTCACCGACAAGTCCATGGTGAGTGAGCCACAAAGTGCAGAGTGGTGTGCTTGCTGCTAGCCAGCAGCATCTCGGAGATCCTCATGGAACAGTTGTATCTCGTGAAAGGATGGGCTGTGCAGATAGGGACGAGGTATTGTCCTACAGAGAAAGGGGTGCTTGCATACATGGAGGAGCTGGAGGCTGCGCAGAGGTTTTACACTGTCTCTTACATGTGAAAGGATGTTGCAGACCTCGTTTGTGTGGCCAGTGTTAAAAGTTTATGATTTACTTTACTTAAAGTGGAGTCTTTCCACAGCTCGCTACTGCTTTGATATAGCTTATGTGAAACTCTTCAGGAATCCTGATGGCCTAAGATGCCCTTCCTAGAGCAAGAGCATCTAAATATTGTTCCTTGCTTTTGAAGTGGGAGGAAGCCCATGGGAAAAAGCTGTTCCATCAGTCTGATGATAACTCTTCCCAGACAAGTTTTAGGAATAAGTGATTTTTGTGAGATGTCCTTGCTCTGGCTCTGACAGGCCTGGAATTGCATTTCCAAATCTTACCTCATAGCAAAGCTGATCTTAGTGTGAAGTCACTCATTCTCATTCCTCATCAAAGCGCAACTGCTTGTCCTGTAAATACGTGTTTGGTGCTGCATCTGAATAGTTCAGTTGATAAAGGACTGAAGGACTTTCCTCTTTTCTTGTCGTCTCTGTCACAGCATTAAGCTCTGAAGCAGTGCAGAGAAAGGCATGTCTAAAGCAATGTCAGAGTAAGTTTGCATGGAGTCAGTTCTGGCAAGTGTTAGTTCTTCTGCTGTGGCTGAAAACAGGTTGTATTGTCCAAAAGGACCTTTTTTTTTTCTGGAGTACAAGACAAGAATGCATGGTCCATGCTTGTTTCATGATTTTTCCTTTTTTTAATACTAGGTTGACAAGTACATGAAGGAAATTCTTGATGATTTGATCAGTAACCTAACCAGCAGTCTGTGGAGGATCAGGGAATCCAGGTATTGCTAGGAAAAGTAACAGATTTTTCTTTGAACACTCTTCTACTTTTCACCATAAACTTTTTAATCTGAAAAAGTTGAGGGGGGGAAGGAGGACACGTTCTTTCATCAGAATAGAGCCTAACCTTGCAGACTGCACTTGAAGTGTGATACAATCTTGAAGCTATTTGCTTCATTGAGCCTGAAATTTTTTATTGCATGTAGCTTGAGCATGATACTAAATGACGTTCTCTGAAGGAGGAGTTTTCTGGTCACAAAGTTCTTGCCTATCCTTGGGCGTGAAATACTGCATAATGTTAGAAAATCTTGGAAGTCTGGCTTTATGTGTACTTGGCAGGAGGATGCCAGTTGGTATAGCATTTTCAATAAACTGCTTTTTGTTTATAATGGTTTGTAGTTATGCTGCATTGAAAACTTCCATTTTAATTTCAATTCCAGACTTTAGACCATTTTGTTTTGTTCTTATGCTATACTTACAGAAAAGAAATCTGAAACAATTTTGTAACTGGAATGTTTGCAATAGCAATTGTCACCACAGCATCCTTTCTTACTTGCTATCACCTGTTTCAGATTTCACCTGACTGGCTGGACATCTTTTTCTCTGCTAAGGGAGACATTCTTATGACAGAGTAGATTTAGGGTTTGGGGAAAATAAGGAATGTGAAACAGTTCTCAGTTGTTTTAACCATTTACTTATATATATTACTTATATATATTACTTCCTTCACATGATGAATGTAAGTATAAATTCCTTGTTTGCAGCTGTCTGGCACTGAATGACTTACTAAGAGGAAGACCTTTGGATGACATTATAGACAAGCTTCCAGAGATCTGGGAAATCCTATTCAGAGTGCAAGATGACATTAAGGTAATGGAACTGATAATTGAAGAGGAATCTTCAACAGAAAGTACAATGATCAAGCTCTGAGATGTTTAAAGAGAGGTTCTCTGAGAAGTCAAGTTGAAGCCAATGGGAGTTTTGGGTACTAAGCAGACTGGAAATTCAGGCCCCTTGCAGTTCAAATTGCCATGACGCCTTGGATATTTGTCATGTTTTGAAGTGTTGGTTTTCATTC